CATCCATCCATCCATCCATCCATCCATCCATCCATCCATCCATCCATTATCTTCTGCTTTTTTCCGAAATTGGGTCATGGGGCAGCAGCTTGAGCAGGAAGGTCCAGACATCTCTTTCCACAGCCACCTCTTCCAGCTCTTCTGGGAGGACTCCAAGATGTTCCCTGGCCAACGGAGAAACATAGTCTCTCCAGCGTGTCCTGGGTCTTCCCTGGGGTCTCCTCTCAGTTGGACATGCCCGAAGCACCTCCCTAATGAGGCGCCCAGGAGGCATTCTTACCAGATGACCAAACCACCTCAGCTGGCTCCTCTTGATGTGGAGGAGCAGTGGTTCTACTCTGATTCTCTCCCGGATAACTGAACTTCTCTCCCTATCTCTAAGGGAGAGCGCAGCCACTTTGTGGAGGAAACTCATTTCAACCGCCTGTAACCACAATCTCATTCTTTCGATCACTACCCAGAGCTTGTGACCATAGGTGAGGGTAGGAACATAGACCGACCGGTAAACAGAGAACTTTGCTTTTCAGCTCAGCTCCATCTTCACCACAACGGATCGGTACAGAGTTCGCAATACTACAGATGCTGCACCAATCCATCTGTCAATTTCATGCTCCATTCTTCCCTCACTCGTGAACAAAACCCCAAGATTCTAGATCTCCTCAACCTGAGGTAGAACCTCACCCTTGACCTGAAGAGAGCAATCCACCCTTTTCCGGTTGAGGACCATGGCCTCAAATTTGGAGGTGCTGATTCTCATCCCAGCTGCTTCACACTTGGCTGTGAACCGCTCCAGTGAGAGCTGAAGATCATGGCACGATGATGACAACAGGACCACATCATCTGCAAAGTTCAGAAATGGAATCCTGAGTCCACCAAACCTGAATCTCTCTGCCAGCTGGCTGCACCAAAAAATTCTGTCCATAAAAGTTATAAACAGAATCGGTGACAATGGGCAGCCTTGGCAGAGTCCAACTCTCACTCTGAAGGGGTCCAACTTACTACCAACAATGCAAACCAAACTCTTGCACTGCTTGTATAGTGACTGAACAGCCAATAACAACGGGCCCCCAATCCCATACTCACGGAGCCCTTACCACAGTGTACCCCAAGGAACACGGTCAAATGCCTTCTCTAAGTCCACAAAACACATGTAGACTGGGTGGGCAAACTCCCATGACCCCTCAAGGACCCTAGTGTGGGTAAAGAGCTGGTCCATTGTTCTATAGCCAGGATGGAATCCGCATTGTTCCTCCTGGATCTGAGGTTTGACCACTGATCAGACTTGCTTCTCCAGTACCCCTGAATAGACCTTACCAGGGAGGCTGAGGAGAGTGATGCCCCTGTTACTGGAGCACACCCTCCAGTCCCCATTTTTGAAGAGGGGAACTACCACCCCAGTCTGCCAATCCAGTGGCACTGCCCTCGATGTCCATGTGATATTGCAAAAGTGTGTCAACCAAGACAGCCCCACAACATCCAGAGCCTTAAGGAAATCAGGATGAATCTCATCCACCCTCGGAACCCTACCGCTGTGGAGCTTTTTGACTACCTTGTGACCTCAGCCACGGTTATGGACAGACCAACTCCGAAGTCCCCCGATTCAGCTTCCTTCATGGAAGACGTACCAGTGGGATTAAGAAGGTCTGAGAAGTATTCCTTCCACCTCTCGACAACATTGCTGGTTGAGGTCAACAGCACCCCACTTTCACTGAACACAGTGTTAGTAAAGCGCTGCTTTCTCCTCCTCAGCCACCTGATGATTTGCCAGAATCTTCTCGGAGTCGACCGAGAGTCATTATCCAGGGTCTCACTGAATTCCTCCCACTACTGAGCTTTTGCTTCAGTAACAGCCAAGGCTGCGACCGCTTGGCCCTGCGGTACTCCTCAGCTGCCTCCGGAATCCCACTGGCCAACAAGGACCGATAGGACTCCTTCCTCAGCTTACAGCCACCATAACCCGGGTTGTCCACCACCGAGTTCAAGGATGGCCACCGCGAGAAGCACAGACAACCTTGCGGCCACAACTCAAGGCAGCCACTTGAACAATTGATTCACAGAACATGGCCCACTCTGACTCATTGTTCCCTGCTTCAGCTGGGATGTGGTTAAAGCTCTCCCGGAGGCATGAGTTGAAGATCTCTCTGATAGGTTCTTCTGCCAGGCGTTCCCAGCAAACCCTCACTACACGTTTTGGTCTACTGGGTCTATCTGGCATCTTCCCCCGCCATCTGATCCAACTAACTACCAGGTGGTGATCAGTTGACAGCTCAGCTCCTCTCTTCGCCCGAGTGTCCAAAACAAATGGCCGCAAATCAGATGACACGACTACAGTCAACATTGATCTACAACCTAGGGCGTCCTGGTGCCAAGTGCACTTATGGACACCCTTATGCTTGAACATGATGTTCGTGATGGTCCAGAATGGTCCAGAACGCAGCAGCCCAATTTTTAACCAGTACAGGCAAAAGAGAGCACATTACACTAGTTTTGGCCTCACTGCACTGGCTACCGGTTCACCTTCAAATCCAGTTCAAAATACTCCTGTATGTCTACAAATCGCTGAACAGTTTTACCCCCCCCCCCCCCCCCCATCTCTCTGATCTGCTACAGCCGTATGTCCCACCACGTTCCCTGAGGTCAGCGGACCAGTTGCTCCTCACAGTTCCAGGAACTCATCTTAAGCGCAGAGCTGACAGGGCCTTCTCTGTAGCAGGCCCAAGACTTTGGAACGAGTTACCTCTGCTTGTCAGACAAGCCCCCTCCCTCTCGGTTTTAAAATCCTGTTTAAAAACCCACTACTACTCAGTAGCTTTCAACACCAGATGATCTGTGTTTTGAACCTGTATGCTTCACACAGGTTAGTCGTCATATTTATTATCTACATCGTTTTTATGTCTAAATTCTGATTTACTTCATTTTGTATGTTGCTTTGTGTGTTAACTGTTGTTCTGTCTGTACAGCACTTTGGTTGGCCTTGTCGCTGTTTTAAGTGCTTTATAAATAAAATGGTATGGTATGGTTATGGACAAACTATGACTAGCACAGAAGTCCAACAACAGAACACCGCTCGAGTTCAGATCAGAGAGACCGTTCCTCCCAATCATACCCCTCCAAGTCACACTGTCGTTACCCACATGGGCATTGAAGTCCATAAGCAGAATAAAGGAGTCCCCAGCTGGTGCACCTTCCAGCACCCCTGCCAAGGACTCCAAGAAGGCCAGATACTCTGAACGCCGTTTGGCGCATAAGCACAAACAACAGTCAGATCCTGTCTCCCCACCCAAAGGCGAAGGGAAGCTACCCTCTCATCTACCAGGGAAAACTCCAACACACAAGCACCAAGTCAGGGGCTAAGAGTAGACCCACACCAGCTCGGCGCCTTTCACCATTGGCGACTCCAGAGTGGAATAAGGTCCAGCCCCTCTCAAGGAGATTGGTTCCAGCCCATGCTGTGCATCAAGGTGAGCCAAACTATATCTAGTCAGTACCTCTCAACCTCACGCAAAAGCTCAGGCTCCTTCCCTGCCAGAAAAGTCCTGTTCCATGTCCCAAGAACCAGCTTTGGCAAGCCACAATCACAAGGTACCCGCCTTAGGCCACTGCCCATGAATTCATGCACCTGACTCACATGATCCCTGTTGCAGGTGTTGGGTCCACAGGAAGGCAAACCCATGTTGATAATTTGGGCTGAGCCTGACCGGGCCCATTGGGTAGAGACCCGGTCACCAGGCGCTTGCCAACGAGCCCCTCCCCCAAGCCTTGTTCCAGGGTGGGGCAACATACGTCTGGGCAAGAGACACAGAGTTCCTTGTTTGTTTCTGTCCATAAGAGTTTTCTGAATCACTCTCTGTCCAGCTTGTCACTTAGAACCATTCTGCCTTGGGAGACCCTAGTAGGGACAATTAAAATTGCCGCAGACAGCATAGCTCCTATAGGCTCATTCAGGCGCACAAACTCCTCTACCACAATACGGTGGCAATTCAAGGAGGAGATCCTACACATTTTCAGGATTTAGAAGCTTTGCAATTTTCTTTCTTTACACACACTTTAAAAAGCCAGCAGCCAGTATTTATAATAATGTTTATATATTTTAACCTGCTAACAGATGTGCCTCATACTTTGCACATCAGTTTACTTTTCAGTCATGGATCGTGTGTTTTTTTTTTTTTCTTCTGCACAGCTCCATCTGATTCACTGGAACAGTACTTTGTTCAACTCATTAGAGGATGCTCTGGGGAAGAAGAATGGAGTTCTCATCATAGCACTGTTTGTGCAGGTAAACATCCTAAGCATGAACCAGAGACCAGTGTGACCCAATTAATGTTGGTTTGGTGAGTTTTCCTCCCAGATTTAACGAATCTGAGTCCTCAAGAATGGTTTCCCAATGCAATATACCTAGATTTATACATTGAATTACAACATATTTAAATGTGTGTATGTTTGACTTGTTTTATATGAGAACAAGAGTAATGCATACATATGTTTTGAAACAAATGTCAACAAAAGCAACAATTTTAACATTTTGGATGAAGTGTATATTTTTAAATGAGGCAGGCCAAATTGCTTCTTTTACAGACTTTTGTAGAGGTGTATGAAAAACTCTAGGACAAACAAATGTGTGTTTCAGAATGTAAATGCAAAATTTTTAGTGAGTTAAAATCTTATTTGAACTTCATTAGGTGCGCCTAAATTAAAGGTAATCATTGAAAATGATATATATATTTATTCATTCATTCAACCTTTATTTAGACAGGTAAATCCCATTGAGTGTCTGGAATGGAGTTTTGTCTTATGGAGAGATTGAAGATGTGGGTCACAGGGACTGTGATGATATGAGCAGCCAGCCTTAAGAAATAAGGTGGAAGTTCATCTGGACCTGCAGATTTTTTAGGATCAAGATCTTTTAACAGTTTATTGACCTCACTGACTGAGAATGGAGAAAAAGAGAAGGTGTGATTAACTGAGGATTGACTTGTAGGGAGGGATTTGATTTGTAGAAGTTTGATTATTAAGTGAAGTGGCTGATTTTCCATTAGTAAATGTGTCAAATAAAGAAATAGAAGCAACAAAATGTTTGTTTAAACAGTTCAGGATCTCGTGCTTATTTGACACAGGAACAGAGTTAATGAGAAGTTGTGATGGGAGGTCAGATGATTGGGAGCTGCCTGAGAGATTTGATGGTTTTCCAGAATCTGTTAGGGTCATTTAGATTTTTGGAGGTCTGAGATAAGAAATAGTTGCGTTTTGCTGCTTTGACAGCAGTTGTGCATTTATTCCTCATCTGTCGAAAACTCAACCAATCAGTGTCTGAGCCAGATTTTCTCACTGTGGCCCAAAGATGGTCTCTCCTGTGCAGGAGGTCAGCTAGCTCTGGAGTAAACCAGGGGCTGTCTCGTCCCTTTATTCTGAACTGACGGGAAAAAAAAAAAAAAAAAAAAATATATATATATATATATATAAACTGACATTATGTCAAATGATGCAGTTTGAAAGCACTTATTCCAGCAGTTTTCCAGATTTATTGATAAGCAATTCTGAAATGTGGGTCCACACTCAATGTAAACAAAGCACAGCTGAAGACTCAGGAAATGTAAATACGTACCAACACGTCACAACTTGCAAACGTCTTGATCCCAAACAGCTCTTTGATGGACATGGTCATCGTTGACATGTTTCAGTCACTTTAGCTGTTTCCATGGGTACAGTAAACAAGCACGCATGGTGGTTGGCATCCGGTCACAAATTTTAAGACAGATTTTCCATTGATTTGAGTAAAAAATTGTGCAGATTTTATTTCTTACTTCATTTTACTTTTTATTTTACCTTTCTTCATAACATTACATTGAATACTTTGAAAATGGCAATAATTGTTTTTTTAAATCAATGATGATGAACATAAATCTAAAGTTTTGCTTGAAAAAGTAAATCACTTCCCTACTTTTCCTTTCTGATTAGCTTGAGCTTGTTGAAGTTAACAGTAATTGTTTGAGATAGCACATTTCTTTAAAGCATTGTGAGACGTAAAGTTTTATATTCCGCTCCAATGTGTTCATTGTAAAACACTGACTTTTTAAGAAGATAACTTAAATACATTGACCATCTTTTCATTATAAGCTGCGTCTAGATTAGTTTGACCCACCAATCTTAGGGCTGAAAAGGGTTTTACGGTCGTGAACCGTGCATGTGTTAACGTCCCTCTTTTCCCAATAACTTCCAGAAAGAACAACAGACTGTGCTCCTGCCAGGAAACCTTTGAAACCTTTGATTCATGTTAGAGGAATAAAAACAGAGAAATGACTTGGCTCTAGGATGATGTGAATAGTCACAGCTGAGGAAACCACACCTAAACAATGGTTGTCCTTCTCATTTTTCTTTTGAACCCAAACATTCTCGACCTCATGAGGTATTTAAAGTCTTACTTTCAACCTCAGACGTCTTGTTTTCTTCACCCTCTGTACGTCCTGCTTTCACCCCATGCAATAACTTAACCTCTAACTTATCTGTGCTGAAAACATGATTGTAAAACAACCACCAAGTGTGCACTGAAACCCAAAATACATGTCTGTTTATTTCTTGTTATAAGATTGGCAAAGAGCATCTGGGTCTGAAGGCCATCACTGAAGTTCTACAGGACCTTCAGTACAAGGTGAGAGCAGTCTGATGATCACAGGATGACAAATGATCTTTGATTTTATTATCTATGTTACATCTGACACAACATATTTATATGTGCTTCTATCAGGGGAAGAGCAAAGTAATCCCATGTTTCAACCCCAACACTCTCCTACCTGGTAAGACCAAAATAGTTTGATTTATTTTATGTATCATGAATATTCAAACTAAAGCAGTAATTAGATTTTAATGAAACCTACAGGATTATACAGACAGGAAGTGAAAATAGGAAATAAAGAATGTAAAAAATTAAAGGGAGTTTCATTTCTTGAAAAGTATATATGGTCGTTTTGGGTATTTCTGTTCATTATTAGGCAGCTTTGTTGTATCAAGATGCCTGGAAATACATAAGAACATAATCAATTCTTTCACTGCCTCCAATTATGTACATAATTATGGACCCCGTGTACATAATTTCGCTCCACCACATGTACCACATGAGGTGCGAATGACAATAAAGAAACTCTGACTCTGACTCTGACTCTGATTATATTTTAAATACCACCACTCTGAGCAAACCTTACAGATTTAGAACTTCATAGTAAAACTCGAGGTTATAACAATCCAAAAAACCTGCAGCTTTGCACATCACAATTGTATATGCATCATTAAAGCAACATCATCCAGCTTTCAAATGTAATGTAAGCAAATTCTAACAAATATTTAACCATGAAAGCTGAAAACCTGAAGATATTTTTTTTTCAACCTTTATTTAGACAGGTTAATACATTGAGCCTCGGGGACTCATTTACAAGAGAGACCAGATTTTAACAAAGAGTGATGACAACAGTGGACAATCATAAAAGAAAACATACAAATTGAGAAGAACAAATGAAAGAAAATAGTATAAAAAAGTTTAAACATAAACAGCTAGGTTGTAAAGCGATGTAAAATACTAAAAACAAGAACATGTTCTTCAATGGGTTTTCCCATGAACTTAGCAGATGTTTGAAGCCACTAGAGAGGTCAAGGTTGAGAGCTTCAGATCTTTTTGTAAGATATTCAAGGAAACAGGAGCGGAGTAGGAGAAGACCCTTTTGCCAAGTTCAGTCCTCAGTGAGGGGACACTGCAGGTAATAATGTCCTGAGAGCTGCACTCACGTAGTGACGCGTAGGAGGAGATGTATGAAGTCAGCAGACCAAGAAGTGATGCAAAGATGAAAATATACCAGTGGGAGAGTCTGCGTGAAGCTAATGATGTCCAGTTAACCAGTGACTATAGGGTGCAATGGTGGTGACGGTAGTTACAGCCAGTTATAGTAAATGGACTGTACTTATAAAGCATCTTTCTATCTTATCAAGACACTCAAAGCTCTTTACACTACAATCTGTGTCCTCATTTACCCATTCATACAGCACTCTACTAGATCTATACAAAGCTAATTTTAGTTATGAATCTTAGCGCACCATGATAGACAGATAGACAGACATTAAGGTGCTTGTAGGAGCGTTCATGTAAATAATGTCACCATAGTCACTGGAGGGAAGGAAAGTCACAGTTACAAGGTGTTTGAAGGCAGCATTCAAACAAAACCAGGAAAATATGCAACACTGACATGTTTGTAGCACACTGTGCTGCCACACTGTGTCTTATAGAGCTGAATTCAAACATTTGATTACCGCTCAGCTCGTGTCTCATTAAATCAGTTGCACATGCAGCACCATCCAGCTTTTACAAGCAATTATCTGATGCTGCTAATATAAGTTAGGCTAGAAAGGGAGCTAACCCTGCAGAGTGTCTGACTGTAACTGGACTTGGATTGTTTTGGGTGTTGGTCTTTCTGAGCTTGAAACTTTGACTTCGGACCCAAAATATAACATATATGTTGGGTCACTGAAACAACTCACATGGAGAAATCACAGTAGTTGTAAAGAATGATAACCAGTAAATTAACCCCAATATCCTCCAAACAATCCATGGCTCTGCTGCTTTGCGTCTTTATTACTAAAACCAGTCAATAAATTCCTGAAGCAAATTTACACTTAGTGCTGATCTCAAATCATTAATGAGGTAGTCGCTTCATTTCCTCTTTTATTTGAAATTCAGTCAGCATGATAAAATAAAGTTCTCCTTATTTGTGACAAGAGAGGAAGATTACTTTGTCAGAAACCAGCATGTTCTGTATGATTTTAGTTCAGTAGAGCTAAAGAATAAATCCTGTTCTTCATGTTTTTGCTTTGGTAAACTTGCCACCAGACCCACTACTGAGAGACTACTGGGTGTATGAAGGATCTCTGACTACGCCGCCTTGTAGTGAAAGTGTGACCTGGATTCTCTACCGCTATCCTCTCACCATCTCACAGCTACAGGTAAAACGATAAGACGAACCGTGGACCAGAGTGGGTAGAAAGAGCATGATGAGAGTGTCTCAGAAAATATCAGGGTAAAAACTATTTGTTAGGTTACAAAGCAGCAGCATCTAGAAGGAATATTTGTCAAGTCCAGAATTAAAAAAACGTGTATTGAACGTTTTTTGAATTTATCATGCCCTGGATGACTGAGAATCTTCACCAGCAAATCCAGAATAGAATTCAAAATCTTACTTCTAACCTACAAAGCTCTCAACAACCTAGCTCCATCTTATAATACAGATCTTATTGTTCCATATTTTCCTAACAGAGCACTTCGCTGTCAGACTGCAGGTTTACTTTTGGTTCCTAGAGTTTCCAAAAGCAGAATGGGAGGAAGATCTTTGAGTTATCTGGCTCCTCTCTTGTGGAACCAACTTCCAGTTTCTGTCCGGGAGGCTGACACATTGTCCAGTTTTAAGACTGGGCTCAAGACTTTCCTTTTTGATAAATCCTATAGTGTTTTAAGTTAATGTCTTCATTCTTTTATAGTTTTATATGTGAATGAGTTAGAATTTGCAAGTTACACTGACCTTTATGAGGAAACCAGCTCAACCTGCAGCATTTTTACAATTAATAAAATAAAATCATAAAGGTAAAGTGATGAACTAAAATGATCATTTTCTGCATGCATCTGAGGATGAACCATCAAGTCAGTCAAATCAACGGTTTAACTAATTATCTTACTAAGTCTTGTATTCATGGTTCTACCATCCTGGGTTTAGTGTTTATTAATTCTAGCTTTGGCAACGAGATGGATTAGTGGTTAACACTGTTGCCTCAGAGAAAGAAGGTCCTGGGTTCAGTCCCGGCTTGGAACCTGGGGTCTTTCTGTTCTCCTTGTGTTTGTATGAGTTTTCTCAGAGTACTCCAGTTTCCTCCCACAGTCCATAAACATGTCAGGTTGCCTTCAGGCCCAGGCCTTTCTTACAAAAGAGGTGTGTGATCTCAAGAGGACTGGCCTGGTGAAATCAAGGTTGCAAAAATTCATTTATTTTAATTAAATGTGCTGCGTGACAGCCTTTTGGGTTATGGAGGAGCGACACGTTTGTGTTTCTCAGAGTGATTTTAGCTGAAGCCCTGGAAGACAAGAGATTAAAAGTAATGATGACAAAAATATTTACAGGGCTGGACCCAGGGATCACAACAGGATGAGGGAGAGTGAAGGAGAAGTATGGTTTTAGGTGAAGAATCTTTTGAACCAGAATTATTCAAGTGAGATGGCTTACTCAGGATGTTAATCTTCCAGGTCCAAAGAGGAGGGTATATTCCAGGTTTCCAGGAAGGTGAGTTTCACAGGTTGGAGAGCAGCAGGTTGGACCAGGAGGTTGTGGTGAGTGGCAGATCTTTCTGGTTGTACAGTACTGTCAGGGTGAAAGGAGCTGGTCTTGAGGTGAGTGATCCAAGGCAACCCTCAGATAAAGGAAGGTTCCAAAACTCGAAGGACACAGGAACTGTTCTCATCTGGGAGGAGCACAAGGAAAATATGATTAAACTTAATTTATAGAATCACTAGAAGAACACTGGCCACTCACTGAATACCATTCAGTAGACAACGTTTCAACATCGTCCTCGGCAGCCTCGGACATTAATACAGCAGGCGGCTCGTTAAGGAGCTGGTCCACAGCTGAGGAGGAGAAGATCTACCCCCTGCCACTCAGGAACTGCAACAAGGTTCAAGGGTCTTTATTGTCATTCTCATCCTGGATGTGGTACATGAAGTGGAACAAAATTGTGTATTCAAGGTCCCGCATTACACCCCAAAATAGCAAAAATATAAAGTATAAAAAGAAACAGTAAATAAGGATTTAAGATCAATAGTAATGTAATATAATAGTGTATTAAACAGCAGCCTGAACACGAGTCTGTTGTGAGCAGATGGATATGAAAACAGCAGCTTAAAGGAAATAAATCAGCAGCACAGATAAAGAGACATATCACCACTTAAAGTGGCATTACAGTGATTTTTATGGTTAGGGATTCATGAGACAGCTTCAGGGTAGAAGCTGTTCCTCAGTCTAGTGGTTCTACACTTAATGCTCCTCAACCTCATTCCTGAGGGGAGCGGGGCAAAAAGTGTGTGTTCTGGGTGGGTGTGGTCCTTCATGATGCAGGTGGCCCTCTTCCTGCATCTGGAGGTGTAGATGTCTGTGATGGTGGAGAGACTGACTCCAACATCTTCTGTGCAGCCTTCACCACTCTCTGCAAAGCGTTTCTTTCTGCAGCTGTGCAGCCTCCATGCCACACGTTGATGCTGGAGCACAGGATGCTCTCCACTGTACACCTGTAGAAGGAGGTGAGGACTGAGCTGTGGTGTGAACACAGAAAATGCTGGAATCTCTATACAAGAAGGTCTTAATAAACTTGAGGAACTGCATTAAACTTCTCTTTCAACATAAAATTTTCTAAGTAATATTTTTTAGAAACCTCCTTTTTAACTAAGACCATGTATGAATTGTAAAAATGTGAACAAATTTCTTATTAATACCTCCATGATCAAAAGCCAAGTGTAATATACCATCAGTTACTGTTCTGTCCATACTTTCTTATTTTCTGAATCCCTTTTTGACTTAACAGCTTGTTTGGTCAAAGATGTAACATCCATCTGACTTTTATTATAACAAGAGCATGAACTCAGTTTTCTAGCAGTGCCACAGTATAGGCTCCAGGAAGCTTTTACACCCGCGGCCAATCAATAAGTCAGCCACGTTGAATGATTTAAACGTTAATTCAACCTTTCCTTGAATCATGGCTCTCCTCCAGCAGGGTGTTGTAATGGGTGGTGGTGCTAACCTTCTGACATTTCTTCATGTCTTACATCTTGGCTGCACTCTGGTCGGCTGACCCTTTGAAAGGCTATTACAAGGACTGAATTCTTTCTGTCCTGCCTCAGGACATGACTTGGAGGAATGAAAAAAAAAGCAAAACATGAAATTGGAGGACAAACAGAAAGCTTTAGGCTGTTAGAAATGGGTTTCTGTGAAAAAGTTATGAATAAATATCTTACCTGTTGTAGACAGCTCTTTAAACAACCTCGGTTTGGGGAAATCGTTTAATTTTGACAAGATTAACGAGCTAACAGCTAGTCAAAGCAGGGCTAAGCTCAAATGCACAAACTTGTGAGTCCTGTCACATGTAAAGATTGTTACTTCAAACTTAGGTCATTCAAAGAAGTATGTACGGTAAGTAAAAAATAAAGTATCTGTTCATAAGATGTTTTACTGTAAAATATCCAAATTTTCTCTTTAGGGGCTGTAAATACTCATCAGTAATATTACTAAAAAGCAGATTTAACTTGACCTCAGTAGCTGTTTGTGCTTTGGCCACATGGAAGCATCAAAAGTGTCCCAACTCACCTGTGAGCACTTCCTGTTTGCAGCAAACTCGTGCTGCAACAGGTGGTTATTATTGTGATGCTGCTGACAACTTCCCAAGTAACGCCCATTAAGACAGATCTTTATTATGATACTGGTATCTTTGTTCAGCGCTGAAGTGGCATTCTGCCTTGTGTCTTTTTAGGCTCATCAAACTCTGAAAACCTGCCACTCTCAATATGTCGTGTGTTTCTTAAGGTGGTTTGAAGTTGCTGAGCAAGAGTTTAAAAAAACCTGACGTAAACATTCTTGGTCTGGTGGGGGTTTCTTATCACAACCACAGTTGCACAGACACCAGCAGAACTATTTTATAACAGCAGGTTCCGGTTTCTTAGAATACACTCTTCAAATATCCGGCTATTATTGACTGCTTGAAGATCGTGTGTGCACAGTGAGTGTGTGCACATAAATGTCACACGCAGTTGCTATGCCCACAGCCTTTGCACTATGACGGTGTGTTGTAAAACTCCCCATATCTGCCACGACAGATCAAGACCTGTTTGGTTTCAGAGACAGTCAGTGTGTAGTGAACCGATACAATCTGCAATGGTTGTGATTTTATCTGAAGGGGAAGTCAAAGTTTGTTTCGTTTTAACTTCATTTCTGTTTTTGGTGTTTTGGCCTGAGATTAAAAAAAGCAGACGTTGTTCCTTCAGACGGAACAAGAAAATGCAAGATGTTTGTCTGCTCAGCTGCCCTTTAGGCAAATGTTCAGCTTGGTGGCAATGTAAAATGTGCAAGTCACACACCCTCTACGTTTATTCAAGGCTGCGAGGAACACAACTGTAACTAGAGAAATTGCATTTCCTGTGAAAATGCAGTGTGAATGCTTGTTGCAGAAGAACTTGATGAAAAACAAGTGAAATTAGCTAAAAACACGCTGAAATGGATGAACAAGCCTAACAGCAGAAGAAAGCAGAAATAACACATTTTTGCTGAATTAAGTTTAAATAAGCAGAAATTAGCACAAAAATTAGGAAATTCGCTAAAAAAGCTGAAATTAGCAAAACTAGTTGAAAGTAGCCAAAAAGGCAAAAAAAGATCAAAATACTTTGAAGGAAGCAGAAGGAGCTAAAAATGAGCTCCAAGAATGTGGAATTAGCTGAAAAAGTGAAATTGAGCATAAAACAACTAAATAGCTGAAATAGCAGAAAAAGCTGAAACTAGCATAAATAAGTTAATTAGGCTAAAAGTAGCAGAAATTATCACAAAAAAATGGAATTTATCTAAAAACTGTTTAAATTATCAGTAGCTAAAAATGCTAAAAATGTAGCTGAAAAGGAAGAAAGCTTAAATTAACAGAAGAAAGCAGAAAAAAACGTTTGCCCAATTAGGCTGAAAAAAAAAGACGCAAAAAAGTAGAAATTACCTGAAAAAAGAGCTGAAATTAGCAAAGAAGCTGCTAGAAAAACAGCTCAAATTAGCTGAAAATAGCTGGGAAAAAAGTTTAAATTTGCTTAAGGAAGCTGAAAGAAACTGAACCAAAACTAAATGTGAAAGGAGCAGTAAAAGGTTGTAAAGATCTAAAGATCTGAAGGATGTAAAATGACCTGAGTTCATTTTCTATGAGGAAAAAAGAAATGTCAGAAAAGGCTAAATATTTCAAAAAGCTAAAGTTGCACCAATACCAAAAGTCATAGCAGGTTTGTCCTGAAAGAGCTGAACATTGTATATACGATTTATTGAAATATCTTGTAAAAAGCATGATGAGAACCGTGCTGAAAAACATACGGGAAAAAAAAAAGGATCACAATAGTGTGAATGCGTCGTTATGACGGATTAGGGCCACATTAAGGAAAAAAAATTACCTTACGAGAAAAAGTCATAATATTACGAGAATAAAGTTGTAGGAGAATAAAGTTGAAATATTACAAGCATAAAATAAAGTCGTAGTAATACAAGAATAAAGCCGTAATACGTCCTGGGTCGCTAACACCTGCTGTGGGCAGCCTCCGATGAGAATCACTGTGTTTTTGAAGTAGTCCACGATCACTATTTGATCACTGTTTGTGAAATATGCCTCCATTCACATTATGTGACGACTAAATCAATCAATGCAGCCATTAATTGCAATCCCACACAGCTTAAGTTAATCATAAGAATCCATATGCCACATGCGTTGGGCCCCTGCTATTGTACTGCTGACGTCAACATTCATCATTTTACTGCGGTTGTAAGACTGCGTTTTCATGTCGGCGTTCTGATAATATTTAGACTTTATCCTGGTAATATTACAAGTTTAGTTCAATAATAGTATGGCTTTATTCTCATATTGTTTCTACTTTTTATCTTGTAATACTATGACTTTATTCTCGTATTACTATGACTTTATTCTCGTAATCCTATGACTTTATTCTCGTAATCCTATGACTTTATTCTCGTAATCCTGTGACTTTATTCTCGTAATCCTATGACTTTATTTTCGTAATACTATGACTTTATTCTTGTAATCCTATGACTTTATTCTCATAATACTATGACTTTATTTTCGTAATACTATGAATTTATTTTCGTAATACTATGACTTTATTCTCGTAATACTATGACTTTATTCTCGTAATGCTATGACTTTGTTCTCATTGGTAATGTAATCTTTTTTTTCTTAGCTTGGCCCTAATACTCCACCATACTTCATAAACATTCACACTATAAAAAAAAAAATGGAAACAAAACCATAATTCTTTAGTGCTGCATGGGTCAACTGTGTATTACTAAAAAGTCCAAATGTCAGAACAAATATGTTTTCTGTCGGACTGGTCCTACATTACAAATGCCTTAAATCAGGATAACACAGACAGGAAACATTTTTTATTTCCTCCCTCCATTACCAGACCTGTTGTTCTTCAGTTGTGGAAGGGGGTTCCCCAGATGTTTAAAAAAGTTTCTATAGATTAGTTGTATGTTTAATCTGTCAGATAACACAGCCAGTCATGACTTCTATACCAGAGGGGTGACACCTGTCACTCTTTTTAAGGCAACACTGTTTCAAAGCAAATATTTGCAATAAGATACAAGAGTTAGCATGTTAGCAGGTGAAAAAATACTGCTGCAAGTTCAGCTAACAGAATAACTATCATCAGCACAATTACCTTAAAATGACAAGGAAATTAATGGTGATGTAAATTAGTTGGACACTTGTGTGTATCTTGTGGAGCTGATGAGAAGTCTTTTCCTTCATCTTTTTTTCTGAAAGGGTGCATCTTCTGTTAGTTACACATCAGTACAGTCAACAAACATCAAACAGTCGCCATGTTATGTTCATTTGCCACAAAATGTGAAATATACAACTTTTTTAAAACAGTCTCCCGACTCTGTGGGGCTACGTTGAAAAGTCAATCTCAATGCTTGTGGTTAAATTGTAAATTTAGCTTTGATCCTAAATCTATTTGTAAATGAAACGTTATGCATGAAAAAGCTTAAAATCTGTCCTGACACACTGATTTTAAACAAACAACAATTAAAATCATCATCATTATTTTAGTATCATTATCATCATGAACTTATATCTATAATTTTGTTTTATTTCTTTAATAAAATCAGTATTTTGCTCAAAATTCCCATACCAGGCATCAAAGTCTCATACTGGCCTGGTGCTGAATATGTTTACATTCCAGTACTTTAAAATGACTGAGTCTAGTATATAAACCAGCATCGGCTATTGTTTATCGGTGTGCAAAATATTACAACTACGGTGGCCCTAAGGTGTAAATGGACAACATTTGGGAAAAAAGTAACTACATTTGAAAAAAACTCAATCACATTTGAAAAATAAAGTTAATAAATAATAATAATAATAAATAATAATAATAATAATAAAGTTAAAGTAAAAAAAATCTACCTGTTTGGCTTAATGTAATCCAGTTTTTTCTAATGTGATTCTGTTTTTTCAAACATTGTTGTGATTTTGTTGTTTTATTGTGTTTTTTTATGTAATTGTGTTTTTTCACATCTTGTTCATTTGCACCTTAGGGCCACCGTATACAACCATTTAAAACCCACTAAAAACTGAACATATTCACATTTGGCCATTGATTGCAATTTTCTATTGTCTGTCTAAAATATACATGTTTTTTAGTCCATATTCAGACTAGACTAAATGCATTAAGTGTACATTTCACTTCATATATTTCAAGGTTCAAGGTTCTTTATGGTCATTCGCATCACGTGGTTCATGAGGTGGAACAAAATTGTGTATTCAAGGTCCCAGTTACACCCTAACATAGCAAAAAAGGAATATAAAATATAAAAAGAAACAGTATGCATTTGTATTTATATGCATACAAACACATTGACCTGGTCCATTCTGCTTTTGTCCTGGACAACCTGGACACATTCAGATTATGGAGGAAATAACAAATCCTGCTTATTAAACACTTATCTGACATTATAATTTTGGATAAGAAAGGCTTTAAATTAATCATCAAACAAACTATCAACAAACAAACAAAAATATTATAAAGAACATTGTCATTCAACCTTTATTTAGACAGATTAATCACACTGAGCCTCGGGGGCTCATTTACAAGTGCGACCTGAAGCAGCAATGTCAGCATTTGTCCTTCGCAGCTCTGACGATCAGCAAAGACGTGCGAGAAACAAAACGACGTCCTGCTGAATCTTCTCACTTGTCCGTCTGCAGATTGAGGAGTTTCGGAGGTTACGGTCCCACAGCAAAGGAGCGGAGCTGCACGAAGGGAACGACGGGATGTTGGGGGACAACTTCCGCCCCACCCAGCCACTCAGTGACCGAACGGTTCGCGCTGCGTTCCAATGACCTTCACTCGACCCCTGCCATCTGAGACAAACTGTGGGACCTGCTGATTTAACTATAGAAGGTACGAGTTTTACAAAGAGTCCAGCTCTGTCCTGATTATTCAAGAGTCCACAACTGCAAACACTTGGTCCTCAAGATTATAAACTACTACAGTCATGCATATTGTGGTTAAATATTCCATCCAGTAAACATTTAAAACACTTTTAGAAAAGCTCTTCAAAGCTGTGTGATGTGTCTGGTCCTTCCTTTTACATTTTGTCCTGCAGTGTGTTGTTTGCATTTAAGAGGCAAAAGGATTGCATATGCAAGAAAACGTAACTTAACCAGAGCTTGTGCCACTTATCTCCAAACACTTTATTAGTTTATTCAGCACGTTTTCTCACCAGGGACAGATTTCTAATTGAAACAATCAGGCAGTCCCGCAGGCTTTCAGGTCCTCTGAAACTGAAACGTACCGGACCAGGCCCTGGCAGAGCTAACCCAGTTCACGTACTAATCTGGGACGAGCCTATATACACATTAGAGTGAAGGAAAGGGCCCAGATTTAACTCAGGAGCACTGCGGCAGGAAGACGGGGCAGAGCTAAACTCAGAGCGCATGACAATGGCAGTGTACAAGAAATATTAGACTTCTCTTTCCCCAAGAGTCCAGCTTTGTACCTAACAAAATAAAACTGTTTAAATGTTTTTGCTTACTGTGCAAATTAATAAGTTGTTGCAACAGTCATGTTTGGAGACATCGTCTCATTTGTCCTTATTAACCATATTTACATAAGGGCGGCTGTAGCTGCGTGTTTAGAGCAGGCATCCTCTATTGCAAGAGTTGAGGGTTCAAATCCACCAGCAGTCACATGCCGAAGTGTCCCTGGGCAAGACACTGAACCCCTCATTGCCTCTGATGTGTGTCCCATCCGTGTGTGAATGTGATAAAGCTCTGATTAGTCTTTGTAGAGATCTAGTAGAGTGTATGAATGGGTGAATGAGGACACAGATTGTCTTGTAAAGAGCTTTGATTGTCTCGATAAGATAGAAAGGTGATATATAAGTACAGTCCATTTACCATGTTATTAAACACTTTTCAATTTTTGTTATTTTATTTTATCCTTTATAGAAAACCTACAACTCCAATTCCAAAACATTTGGGACGCTGTGTAAAATCAAAATGCACAAATCTCATAAACTCATTTCATTCACAATGAAACAGGAAATATTGTGACATTTTAATTAAAAAGGGATATGTTGAATTTGACCATACCATTTTATTTATAAAGCACTTTAAACAGCAACAGGGACAACCAAGGTGCTGTACAAACAGAAACAAACAGATAAAGCACACAGCAACACATAACGTAAAATCAAAATACAGAAAAAATAATAGCAGATAATAACATAATGACTAACAGTGTGATGCATACAGGATCAACACAAATGATACAGTGGTGAAAGCCAGGGAATAGTAGTGGGATTTTAAGCAGGATTTAAAAACTGTGAGGGAGGGGGCCTGCCTGACAAGCAGAGGCAACTCGTTCCAAAGTCTTGGACCTGTGGCAGAGAAGGCCCTGTCACCTCTGCGCTTCAGACAGGTTACTGGAACTGTGAGGAGCATCTGGTCTGCTGACCTCAGAGAACACGGTGGGACATATGGCTGCAGCAGATCAGTGAAATGGGGGGGGGGGGGGGGG